TCCCTCACTTTCCCTGGTAATGCTGATAATTCAAAACAGAATTAATTGGCTTTTGAAGGTGAGGATTTGAAAACTGGTAGAATTTTGTGGAAGCTCTAGCCAGCAAAACACCCTTCCAAAACATTTGTTTGCAATTAAAAACTCTTAGGATCCAATTCCTTTCCTGGAGGCTGTTGCACCCCGTTCATTAATCCTAGTTCTCCACTGAATCCTTCAGTCCTGTGTTAGTGTGAATCCTGTCAAGCAAAAGGAAGGCCACAGTGTCACAGTTTAAGAACAAAAAATGCTCGATCCACCTTATCATTTTCCCATCCTTCCTTCTGCTGTGGTTGGTTACTAGAAGCATTAAAACATGCTGCACTTGTGTCTGTTATTTAGCCAGATAGAAAGCTTTATTAAGAAATTATCACACACAAGACAGTCAGCCCACTTGGCTCCCACACAAGTTGTTAGTGTTCATTTAACCCAAATCATACTGTGTTCTTGCTTGACTAATGCTGTCCCCAATATGATGCTTTATTATAGTGCACGATTTGCATATATGTTTTGTCTTTTGAAGGGAAGTTCAGCCTTCCTTGTTCCTGCTGTTTATTGTCATAGAATCATAGAATAATTGGGGTTGGAAGGGACCTTTAAAGGCCATCCAGGCCAACCTCCCCCCTGCCATGAGCAGGGACATCTTCAACTCTATCAGGTTGCTCAGAGCCCCATCCAACCTGACCTTGAATGATTCCAGGTATGGGGCATCCACAACCTCTCTGGGCAACCCGTTCCAGTGTTTTACCACCCTCCTTGTAAAGAATTTCTTCCTTATATCTAGTCTAAATCTACCCTCTTTTAGTTTAAAACCATTACCCCTTGTCCTATCGCAACAGGCCCTGACAGAAAGTATGTCTCCCTCTTTCTTATAAGCCCCCTTTATATATTGAAAGGCTGCAATAAGGTCTCCCTACAGCCTTCTCTTCTCCAGGTTGAACGACCCCAACTCTCTCAGCCTGTCTTCATAACAGAGGTGCTCCAGCCCTCAGATCTTTGTTGTGGCCCTCCTCTGGATGCCCTCCAACAGGTCCATGTCCTTCTTATGTGGAGCTGGACACAGCGCTCCAGGTTGGAGTCTCACCAGAGCAGAGTAGAGGGGCAGAATCACCTCCTCTGACCCGCTGGCCATGCTGATTTTCATGCAGCCCAGGGTACGGTTGGCCTTCTGGGCTGCCAGCGCACATTGCCGGCTCATGTCCAGCTTTTCATCCCAGTAGCCCCAAGTTCCTCTCGGCAGGGCTGCTCTCAATTCCTTAATCTCTCAGCCTGTACTGATACTGAGGGTTACCCTCACCCATGTGCAGGACCTTGCACTTGGCTTTGCTGAACCTCATGGGGTTCACATAGGCCCACTTCTCGAGTTTGTCCAGGTCCCTCTGGATGGCATCCCATCCCTCAGGCATGTGAACTGCACCACTTAGCTTGGTGTCATCTGCAAACTTGCTGAGGGTGAACTCGAGCCCACTGTCTATCTCATTGATGAAGATATTAAACAGTACTGGTCCCAGTACGGACCCCTGAGGGACACCACTTGTCACCAGTTTCCACCTGGACATTGAGCTGCTGACTCTGTGGATGCAACCATCCAACCAATTCCTCATCCACCAAACAGTCCCCCATTAAATCCGTATCTCTCCAATTTAGAGAGAAGGATCTGGTAGGGGACCGTGTCAGAGGCCTTACAGAAGTCCAGACAAATGACATCCTTAGCTCTTCCCTTGTCCACTGATGCAGTCACTCCATCATAGAAGGCCATTAGGTTGGTCAGGCAGGACTTGCCCTTGGTGAGGCCATGCTGGCTGTCTTGAATCACCTCCCTGGCCTCCATGTGCCTTTTATAACAAATTCTGGCAAGTTTAGAGGTCCGAAAAGCCTGTCAGATGTTGGCCTTAAGGGCTGGTGTCCCTGAAGTTGGATGTAATTTGTACATAATAAATTGCTTCAATAAGATTTTGTTTATTAGCTTAATTACAGAAGTCTTTTGGGAGTTAAGCTAATGTGAAATTAAGGGTCATGGGACCACCACAAACCTTCAGAGGTTGTGGTGATAAAATCCAGCTGTTTTTTCTCAAAAACAACCTCTCAATATATTGTTCTTATCCAGTGGTGTTCTTATGAGATTGCAGAGATGTTGTGCGTCTAAAAAAAAATAAAAGGATTAGTTGCATTAAACCCTGGCATGAATTGGGTAATTAAAGACTAGCCAGATTCCCTGACTGGCTTGATTGCTTGCATTACAATGTCATCTGCAGATGTCCTGGATGCCCAGGCTTTGGATGAAATGGCCTTGAATCCATGGGTGATCCTATCTAGGGGAGCACCTGCAGATCATACAGCCTTTGGCAAGACTATACTAAGTCTCACACTGCAAGGGAGGGTAAGGCTGTGGGGAAGGGCATTGGGATTTACAAAGGTGGGAAATTAAGATGAAGTTTTAGGATCTTCACATATGGGGACTCAATTTGGACTGGTTGAAGAAGACCAGTGTGGGAAGTAGTAAGAATCAACTTGCATTGGAACTTGGGCATAAGGTAGAAAACCAGCAGCTTAGATATTTGTGGAGGGTATTTTGCTTTCTAAGCAGATTTGTAGAGTTGCTACTTTCAGCTTTGGTGTGGGAAGGTCTTTCTTTTGAAACACTTAGCTCTTATTCCTGTTTTGTTAACTAGAGTTATCAATTATTATTGGTGATGCACTCTGCTGTCTTTAAATGACCCATTGTCAATATTTTTTTAAGCAGCATAGCATTAGTTTTAAAAATACCATGTAGCTATTAATAATGCTTTCTCATCTAACTTAGAATTTTGCTCAGTTTATAATTTGCCTTAATAATTTATAACTGAGGTTATAAATGACATCAGGAAAGAGTTTTCTTCCTATACAGAACAACCAACGTGCTATGAAGCAAAGAAACATACACTATACAATGCACAGAATGTTTCAAATATCTTTTAAAGCTAGATCCTCAGCCCTAGCTGAATATGCATAGCATAGACGCTTTTTATAGGAGTCTAGTACAAAAAAGCCTGTATCATCTGGCTTCCGGGCATTTGTTTTCTAGATGCACTTTGCATATGTTTAGAGTGTTCCACTTACTAGGTAATGCCACTCAAAAAAAGGATTTGGACATCAGTGAACATTACAAGCATTTAAGACATGGATAATACGTCTGTCATTTTAAAATATTAATAGTATGTTTTTAAGTGCTCATATAGTAAATGACCTTCATACAGTGGCCTGGATAGTACCCACAGAGAAACAGATCTGGAAAATCCTTCCTTACCATTAAGAGCAAGAGGAAGAAATTGCTTTCAGATACACAAGCAGCTGATTTCTTCGTGATTAGTAAAAATGTTGCACATAAGCCTGAAGACAATATCTATGCCTACCATCACTCTGGACCTCCAAGTACTGAACTTGCCTGCCATCTAACAGCTGTAACTAGGAGGTGGTTTCACCAGAAACTTTTTAGCGACAGTTGTGTTTGCTGCTCCATGGCTAAGAGGTGGACTCGTTTCTGGTTAGAGCCCTCAGCCATTTCTTCAGCTGATGGTGCGTGGGCCACGTCGCTCCCGTTACGCTATGGTGCGGTTCAGTGACAGGCGCTCTCTGCCTCAGATCTCAACAAAGCTGCAGACAGGACCTTACAAATTTCTGCATCAAAATGCTGTAAGGCTTTACCAATCTCTTTTCTCTCTTCTCCTTCCCTCCCCCTCTACAAGCACTCAAACAGATTTATATGAACAGGCTTTTAAATATCTTTAAGGCAATTTCTAGTATGTGATAAGGATTGCTTTTACAGCAAAGTCCTTAAAAATAAATAACCCTGTAAAGAAGAATAACAAATAGGGGGATATCTGCTTTGGCAGACAATAATGAAGATGTACATGCAGCGACAGTTATTTTGCACAGTCATTCCTCAAGATACCCCTAACAGTTATGGGTCAAAGTCTTCTGTACATCTGCACTGCTGTCCAAAAAATGTCAACAACCCAGGACCACCCAGTCTGTGTTACATTTGTTGCCCATCTGTATTGTAGGAAGGTACTTCTGGTCCCTTTTCAAAATACAAAGATTGTGCAAATTTCTAGGGACTTCCATCCTCACATCATGCATCTCTTTGTACAGGGATGCTATGATTACAATACCCCTTGCTACTGATAAATGCAAATGATTATTAATACACAAATACTGGTGGCTTTTTCATCCCATGTGCAGTATTTTTACCCCTTGTTAGTTGTAAGAAATCCCACAAGGCTATTTGAGTAATGGAGTTTTGTGTGTAATTGGCTTAATGCTTGCTTGCTAAATTTTTCTAGGGATAAATTGAGGAAATGGGGGAGGGAGGTTGCAATAGGGCTGTCTTGAGCTTTGTAAGACAGAAGAAAAATGAAGGGATGGAAAGCGGTATTTTGTTCTGAGTCTTTCGCCCTATTGTGCTTTTTAATTATAGGTTATTACTTAAAGCGAAGCCCACTTCCTCCTGGAGATGCATTGGGAAATGACTGCAATTCTGATTTTGTCATCTAGGAGCAAACAAAATTTAGATTTCAAAAAGGACAAGCAAAGAGGATTGCTAACTTTATTCAGAATTGCAGGCTGGATTACGTTATGACATCAAACAGTGCATCCCACGCTACAGAATGCGTAGATTGCTGCTGACGTAGAAAAGTGCAACGTTTTCAAGCACAGCATTTTACAGTTAACAGGGTGCATTTCAGGACAAATTTTCCATGCTGCACATGATAACAGGCCACCATTTCAGAAGTGTGTAGGCCAGATGGCTTCTAAGTTCAGTGAAGTGCTCAGGATTCAAACATAATGAGGGGAGGCTTTTGAAAACTGAAGTTAGGCTTCCAAGGCGCTTGCAGCTACGAGTTCAGATTTTCGGTGTATTTTAGACAAATAAATGCTCTACAGTGTTTTTGTAACTCAGTCCTGTTGGTTTACTTTCTTTTTAGAGTTTCTTTGCAAGGAATGCCCGAGAGTTCATATTTTCATTGATCGAATTGAACTGAAGGACATTCCAGAAGAGCAGATGTATATGAGAAGGTGGCTTCATGAACGTTTTGAAATAAAGGACAAGTGAGTAACAACATGCTGCACTTTCTGTTCAAAGAAGCTGTTTTCTTTTCTATTGACAGATATACCCATGATTTCTGTGTTACCAGCAGTGCAAGCTGTAGGGCTCTCTGAAGAGAGGTGGTGTTGGTATGCGTGTGCTTATTTTGTATAATACCCTTGTGGTTAAAGCTTTTGCTCAGAAGGTTGGGACTCCTGGGTTTTAGACCTTTCTTAGACTGAAGAGCTGTGAATCCATGTTCCAGGCGAGATTCATATTTATCCGAATACTCTCCATTTATTTCCTCAAAGCTGAGTCACGCACAGCCAGGAACATAAGACACCCACAGTAGGCAAGCAAGCAAGAAGCAGTTTGATTTGATCCTCGTAATCCAAGTTAGGTTAGAGTTAGAAAGGGGCAGGTGTTGATCTAATCTCTTCCGCTAAAATTGTGTATGCGTCTTCCATCAGACAGCGACTGGATGAAAACACAAGTAACCCCGAGATCCCTACCTTCACTGGGGAAATTAGGTGAAGTAGAAGTTTCATTTGTCCATCTTTGAATCGTGGTAGACCTAAAGTGCCTGGCTCCCTCCAGCATCTCCAGCTAAGGTCACTAGTGAGCTATATGCCACAGATCCTGAGAGACCTTGTGCCTAAACGTGGGATTTAAGTATTGTTTGAGAGACGATGGTTTAATGTGCCACATCTCAAGTCCATCTTAAGGGAGCTGAATCTGTTAAGTTTTTAAATCCTTGAGTACCTTGTGTGAGAGAGAAATTTCCCTGGTTCTTCAAGTATGTTCTGCTTTAAAATTGTTCTGGCAGTCTCACACTCCATGGAAGTAAAAAACAGATTTGTCTGGTGATCTTTGAATCTATGTAAAAGTTAACATGATGATCTGTAAATGTGGCACTATTACTAAAGTGTCATAGAGGTTTAGGATCACTAAGTGATTTTTCTTTTCTTCACTTTTGAGAGACAAGAAAGTCTGAATTTCATTCTATTGACAAGTAACTGATAAATAAAATAAAAGGCTTTCCAGTGGCCCACAAGTAGTCTTCTGGTGAAGGCCAGCAAACCCTGATCATTTATCACAGAATCACAGAATCACAGAATCGTAAGGGTTGGAAGGGACCTCAGGAGATCATCTAGTCCAACCCCCCTGCTAAAGCAGGCTCACCTAGAGCATGCTACACAGGACTTCATCCAGGCGGGCTTTGAATATCTCCAGAGAAGGAGACTCCACAACCTCCCTGGGCAGCCTGTTCCAGTGCTCTGCCACCCTCAGAGTGAAGAAGTTCTTCCTCATATTCAACTGAAACCTCTCGTGTTTCAGTTTGCATCCATTGCCCCTAGTCCTGTCGCTGGACACCACTGCAAACAGACTGCTTCCGTCCTCTTGACTTCCGCCCTTAAGATATTTGTATGCGTTGATGAGATCCCCTCTCAGTCTTCTCTTCTTCAGGCTGAACAAGCCCAACTCTCTCAGCCTTTCCTCGTAGGGGAGATGCTCCAGTCCCTTTATCATTCTAGTAGCTCTCCTCTGGACTCTTTCCAGGAGTTCTTCGTCTTTCTTGAACTGGGGAGCCCAGAACTGGACACAGTACTCCAGGTGGGGTCTCACCAGGGCAGAGTAGAGGGGGAGGAGAACCTCCCTCGACCTGCTGGCCACACTCCTCTTAATACACCCCAGGATACCATTGGCCTTCTTGGCAACAAGGGCACATTGCTGGCTCATGGTCAGCTTATTGCCCACCAGGACTCCCAGGTCCCTCTCAGCAGAGCTGCTATCTAGCAGGTCACCCCCCAGCCTGTAATGGTGCATGGGGTTCGACCTCCCCAGGTGCAGCACTCGACTAAGGTTCTCATTTGTCCAGTATTCCAACTTCTCACACATTGAATATGTAAATGAAGAATCAAATTCACCATAGCAACATCCCTAAAGCATGATATTTTTTTTTTTTTTTTCCCCTCTGCAGTATCTTTCCAGCTTTTGAGAGGGTAGGGGAAACCCCAAGCCTGAAACCAACAACTCAAGAATTTTCTGGGTGTTGGTAGTCTTTATGCATCCCCAAGGGGAGGTGCATAATATCCAACCCTATTTCACACATAGAACAAAGAAAAACAGTATCTAGTCAATTGTAAAGATATATAACGCAGTTAGCAGCCAACATGACACATCTTGTTTATTATCTGCTTTATGTCATTGTCAGGAATTGAAACTGTGGGACTACCCACAAATGATGACTGAGTTAGCAGAACACCCAGTGGTACTGGAAGGTTATTTTTCTTTAGGTCGAAGGGAAGATACTGAGGGATTGGTGGGTGTGGGTCTTGGGTTTAGGTTGGATGTTTTTTGGTTTGGTTTTTTTGTGGTGTGTTGTTTCTGGTTTGGTTTTTTTTCTTCTTGAAGCACAGTGCAGAAGACAGTTGCTCAGTCTTACAGCCAGAGGTCTTTTTTTGAATAGACCTCTTTTTTTTGAATAGACTGTATCCTAATTTAATTTGTCTATAGGAGCATATTGTCTTCCATTTTAAGAAGAAATAAAATTTCGGTAGTACATAATGGAAGTTTTAAAGCTTTTTCTCTGAAACGAAATATAACACAAACCCTCCAAAAAAAAAAAAAAGCTATGTAAGCTCCATCGGGGCCCATGGACTTGTGGGTGTCCAGCTTCCTTAAAAGATCCCTAACCTGATCCGCATCAACAGAAGGAAGGTCTTCCTTTCTCCAAGCTAGCTCGCTTACCAGCCAGGACTGGGGAGCCTGAGGGCCAGCCTCAACAGTGAAGACTGAAGCAAAGAAGGCATTCAGTAGCTCTGCCTTCTCTGTATCTTCTGTCACCAGGGCACCCGTTTCATTCAGCAGCGGTCCCACATTACCCCTGGTCTTACGCTTACTGCTGACATACTTGAAGAAGCCCTTCTTGTTGTTCTTGATGTCCTTTGCCAAACTCAGTTCCAGGTGAGCCTTGGCCTTTCTGGTAGCTTCCCTACATGATCTGGCAGCTTTCCTGTATGCCTCCCAAGTGGCCTGACCCTCCTTCCACATTCCATGGAGCTTACCCTTTTCTTTGAGTTTCACTAGAAGCTCCTTGTTCATCTATGTCTCATTGGAGACTCCTGTTGACTGGAACATCTTTCCTGGAACCAAAGAAGGCTGTCAGGTGAATTTAGAGATATTTAAAACAGAATCCCAGAATTTTTGAATTCATTTATTACTGGTTTTCAAAAACAGGAGAAAAAAATTCCTACTAAACCTGTAGTTTTACTCTTGCATGTTTGTTACTACTTTATTTCATGAAGATAATTCCCCCCTGCCTTCAGTGTTCAGTTACTAACTGTGTGCTATTTTGTCCTACGATACTGCCCAGTAGTACTCTGGGCTTATTTGCTAAACACTGAATGAAAAGGATTCTTTTCAACTTTTACAGTCAGCATTAAAATTGGTCCCTCCGGAAAATCTGCTTTTATTGCTCACAAGGGTTCAGGTTGAGTACTCTGGCGTGCAACGGTACTTTGAATGCGTCATATTCTTAAGGCATACTGATTGCTTAAGCTTGTTACGGGTGAGCTGCTACGTATTGTTAAACAGTTTGTTAAATAACATGGGATTGGAAGCAGTTATTGGATAAAAGTTAAGTTGCTTAAAAGTTCCTATGCTAATGCATAACTTTGACCATCTCCTTTTGTCTGCTTGTAGGTTACTAATAGAGTTTTATGATGCGAAGGATTCTAAAAGAAGAAATAAGTTCCCTGGAAAAAGTGTTCATTCCAAACTAAGCCTCAAGAAAACTTTGCCATCTTTGCTGTTTTTAGGTGGCCTGACTGCTAGTATGCTTCTGACAGAATCTGGAAGGAAACTCTATGTAAAAACATGGATATACGGGACTTTAATTGGCTGCCTGTGGGTTAGCATTAAACCATAAGCAGATGTTAGTCTCCAATCAGTGAAATGTGCAGTCTTTTCTTGCACATTGCACCAAACTTTTTCCTGACTTTATAGTAAAAAAGTGTAAATAAAGCCTTATTGATCGAACATTGGAAATAATACAATTTGTGACTTAAGCCTCTGTGTGGTTGGTCTGGGGAAAATAAATGTAGATTTTCAAATTTGCTACTCATTTTTGCTGGAATAATGAGAGATAAACAGAGTCATATGATAAATTGCTTTCCCCATGAACTAACATCCATCTCTGTCTGCAGATACGATGAAGTATGAGTTATGCATAGGGGTGTCTTAAGTGGACCTGTGAATGTATTTACAGAGAATAATTTAGGGTATATATTTATTCTTCTGATAGTCACGTTGAATTTTCGTTACTCTTCGGTGCATTGCAGCAGCTCAGTTGCATCTATCCCAGCTGTATCGCAACTAAAATCAAAACTTTTTTTTCTTTTTTTTAGGTTTTGCTTTTCAGTTTTAGCTAAATCCTGTGTTCTTTAAAAGGGACTATGTAAGCTGGCAAATCATGAGATGTTACCTGAAGCAGAATAAAGTGTTCCCGAGAACTACTGTTCATGGGGAAGAAGCTCTGTTTATCTAGTGCATGATTTTTGATTATATTGCAGTATTAGCTGATTATTTTACATACGCAAAACATTAAGTTTTACTGGGCAAACAGCTTATTTTGCGCACCCTGTATTTGTGCATAAAAGGAATGTACGCAGTATAATGAAATGTTAAGTTTTTGTTTCTGGCCTAACCAGACTGTAGCCTACCTTGTGTCTGCGTTCTCCCTAAGGCCTCGAGAGTTTCAGCTGAGCTCACAGACCTTTCGTGTCTACGTGCCATACGCGGAAGTTTCCTGTTACCTCACGATTTTCTGGAAGCAAACTCTGTCATTTGGTGATGCGCAGAATTGCTGTAACTTCAGGAGCGTAAGGGTATGGTAACGAGGAACCTCCAGATGTTCCTGCTAAATCCGAAGCATGTGCCTTTTCCTACTAATCTGATTTAGCCTGATGTTTCATAATCCGGCCATCATCTCCATGCTGTGATATCACTCTGGATTCTCAGATCATTGTAGGCGATGCAGACTGCAGCTGGATTGAAGTTACAGGGTCGATGTATACCATTTGCACAATAGACTAGTAGTGAAAGAAATGCATATCCTGTCAGTATTTCACCTGCTTGAAAATACAATTTAAAAAGCAAAATCAACAATCCCTTACTACCAGAAAGTCTGCAATTCCCCGTGGCTGGGATTTTTGTTGGGGAAGCACTATTTCCTGGTATCAAGGGAATAGTCCATACGTACAGTGATGGGGTAGGAAAGAGGATGTACTTCATCTTCTTCCACCAGGCAATAGGACTCCCTGTATCAAAATGAAAGAACTAGAAAATATTTTTATATCACGCTTGCAAGCTTTAAATGCGCATCTCCTTTTAGCTTCCGTGCAATTTGTCTTGCATTAGAGTCCATCGTGAGTTAAATGTCTCTTTAAATTATAACTCAGTTTTTCAGGTTCCACCATTGCCAGTTAATTAAAGATACTGCTTTTACTGCGTGGGTTTGGGGTTTTTTGTTGGGGTTTTTTTTCAGAATTTTGTAGAGAAATTACTGTTCCACCTTAAAACTGTTCAGTGCAACTTTCAGTTCGCAGTTCTGTGTCCTTCCATAATGGATTTTGTCACTGGAGTTATTTATATCGGTGACTGATTCAGGATATGTTGATGAACCATTTTAAAAACAATGACTGGGAACAATGTTGAAAAACAGTATTGTTGTGAGGCTGTGAAACCAGAAAAAAAAAAAAAAAAAAGCCATTTTATGTAACAGCCAAATGTGCTCACATGTAGTTCTTCCTATTCTCAGCTGACCCTTTCCAGTGGGTATAACCAGAAAGCAGTGTTCCTACGTTAGTGTGATTTGCAATCATGGAATGAAATTTTACTCTGACAGGACTAAATTTCTTTGTAACAGCTAAGAATAACAGTTGATTATACATCAGAAATAAATGCAAACTGCTTAATTCATTTGTAGAAAAGTAAGTGCTATTTTGGAGAGCCTAATTACCACAAAATATTGGATCTCTCTTGCTGTTTAAGTACCAGGAATATAATTGATGCAGTGCAACAAACAGGATGTTTATTTTGAACCTTATTCTCTATGTTAATCTTAATTTTTTTTTTCTTGCCATTAATTTATAAAGTTTTGAAACTGTAATTTGCTGATGTATTTGGCGTTGGGAGTTATCACATGCTATTTCTAAATATGCACTGATATTAACTTGAAATATTTCTTCATTAAAATAAGAAGAGCCAATGCTCATTCAACTTTTCTGTCCCGTCTACTTGTTCAATTTTTTCTGTGCTTTTATGTTTGTAACTTGGTTAACAGGGACTGCTTACAAAAAGCCTACGAGTGTGGGTTTCGGTCCTTGACAGGACGATTTGTGTGAGAAACAGTCAACGAAAAGAAAACAGCTTGCCTTTTATTTTTTTGTCTGCGCAGCTAAAATGCATTAGAATCGATTTGTGCGTGTTCCAACACAACACACGGCCAGGTCGGTTGGATTACAGTTCACCAGCGAACACCTGCACCGCTTGTTGCCTGTTAGTAACATTTGTTGATGCGCAGTACCACAGCTCTGCCCAGGATTCAGGCTCTGCCGCATGATGGGTCTTGCACAGGCAGCACTGGCAGGCAGGCTGGATGGACGCGGGCGCTGGGAAGAGGTATCACAAACAAATAGAATCATAGAATCATAGAATGTTTTGGGTTGGAAGGGACCCCTAGAGGTCATCTAGTCCAACCCCCCCGCAGGAGCAGGGACACCGCTAACTAGATCAGGTTGCTCAGAGCCCCGTCCAACCTGGTCTTGAATGTTTCCAGGGACAGGGCCTCCACTACCTCTCTGGGCAACCTGTTCCGGTGTTTCACCACCCTCATTGTAAAGAACTTCTTCCTTATATCTAGTCTAAACCTACCCTGGTTTAGTTTAAAACCATTACCCCTTGTCCTGTCACAGCTGGCCCTACTAAAAAGATTTTCCCCATCTTTCCTATAGGCCCCCTTTAGGTACCGAAAGGCCGCAATCAGGTCTCCCCACAGCCTTCTCTTCTCCAGGCTGAACAAGCCCAACTCCCTCAGCCTGTCCTCATAGGAGAGGTGCTCCAGCCC